TATCAAAAACAAAATTTGTCATTATTTCCATATCTGTGCCATTTCATATTGACTGAACTCCTTCCACAGTCTCTAAGACGCATGAATGACGCACAATGTGGACTATCGAGGAAAGTAAAAACGTGCCCATGGTCAACCGCTTAACTAGACAGGATCAGCTCTAACAACATGCTAGCTATGCATATATATGTGACAAATTCACAAGCGGAAAAATTCCACCACGGTGTGTCTCAGAGCTGGAGTGGTAAAAACGAGGTGAAGCTTATAAGAATAAAGTCACCAAATCTCGGGCTTCTCGACTGTCTAGACCCAGGGCTGCTCCCAGCTGACACATCAAGGTACCGAGAGCCACGGGGCCCAAGCGTGGCCAAGTGTGGGACTCACTAGCTTAGCAGGCTAATCTGTTTTCCTGCTGAGTCTTAGCCAATCATGGCACAGCGAATCACAACCCAATCGGGGGCCATTCTGACGTGGTGATGGATAAGCAGCAACTGGGAAACGCAGACTTCCCATTAGAATAAAAAGTGGATTCTGTGTCCTTTTCAGATCTTTTTTTTGCTTATAAACACCTAATTGGCGAACAAGGGAGCTCTAGCAGTGTGTGTGTGCTATTTCCATGACAAAGTGTTCATTTAACAACTTTTTTTTCCAAATGGCCTTAGATGTACATTGTGAAATAACTCAAAGCTACTCAACACCAGTGCTGTTAAACCATCATATGTGCATTAAACAGAACGTACATGCATGCAGGCATTTTCACACATACAAATATTACATTAATTTTGTTGTCATGACAATCCAGTGACGACGACCAGCTAAAAGGGCGGGAGGCCTTGTCAGCTGATCAGCCGCCATGGGCCAGCGATGGTAAGGACCCCCGGTGCTCACGCGCCATTGGGACGTTACGTTACTCGTCCTGCGAGGATGTCTTTTTTTTTTTACTTGTCAATAAAACAAAGACATGCTTTCACTGAAGCTATAAAAAACAGCGCGCACAAATGCACACACACGCGCAGAGCAAACAACAGCCAAGGGGAGTCAGACAAACCAAGGATTACAATTTGCGCACAAAAGAGCAGCCGGACAAACGCGCCTGTCTCTTCCTTTCATAGCGATCATTCTCCTCGCGCGTTTCAGTGACAGAGGTCATCTAATAACACGAGGTTTTTTTCTGATGTATAGTATCTATGCGTAGGCCTATATCTACAAAATCCCTTAATACATACACGAGAAAAAGAATAAAATAACGCACAGGTAGGCTACTATGGACTAAGAACAGCATTCATTTTCCATTTGCCGGTCTACGTTTTCTTCAAGACAGCTCGTACAAATTTGCGCACTCAGACGCAGACAAACGCCGCGGCTCCTCTTCTCCAGCCCCGGTACATTGAGTGGCTCGCCTCGACGCACGCCGAGTATCTCCAGCTGCCATCAAATCGCCGGTGCTTCTCCTGGAGCCGGCAGAAGCAGACGCACGTTTTACGCGGCCGCGGTAAGCGCCGTTCACACCGGCCACGTACCTGCGCTCTTTCACGCTACCGACAGACCGGAGACCGTCTGGCTGCCAGGGTCACGGCGACAAGCGGCTTAAGCGTAGACAAGAGACTTACAATATGAAATAAAACGATCAAAGCTCCGCTCTAATCCCCGCGGCTTTGAATGAGGCATATTGTTGCCAGACTGAATAATGCAGGTTTGGGAAATGTAATGGAAACGTTGTCTAGGCTGAATCATGCACAAACACTGCAAAATCCATTGTATATTTACGTTTATATGCAATAAACGTTTTCCATCAAGTAAACATATTTAAAGGTTTATTTATGAATGCAGTGCCATCGCGGTAGTTATCCACGCGATAACTTTTAGGTATCATTACGGTCCGATTTATTAAACAGTTTAATAGGCTAAAATCACACTTTAACATTATGATGTAAGTTACAGAAAAACCCTTCACAAATACCGCCCATCCTGGTGTTTTTTATAGTATGCTATTAATACCAATTTCTATTATTTATTTAGCATATAACTTTGCATAAACCACTCAGAGTACATACTAGGTGAACAGATCGTCTCAGCACGTTTTTAAAGGCTACTGAAGCTTGCGTGTTAACAGTGCTTTTTACTTAGGGAAAGTGGACTTCTCGTATGATTTGGTTAATGTGACTATCAGATAAACCTTAGATCCGATTACTCGACACCAACAAGTTTTCGTGGCGCTGAAGGTCACAATACGCGCGGATAAAACGGTTAGTTTTACTAACTCATAAATCAGCTCCACGCAGAAGCAAATTAATTGATTATAACTGTAACGTTCTACATATTGTAATTAATTACCTAAACATGCTAATCATAAATTAAATTAATTCGTATTACTTGAAAATATCACTTGAGCTATAATGTCCATGACGCTCCTTCGTAAAAAAACATCTGTAAAACCCACTATGATGAAACAGGCCACATAACTTAAATAAAACTTAAATGTTTTCTCAAAAGATTTCACTGACTAAATTAAGAATATTGTACAATTTGTTGTTATATGTTTTAACAAACAATGCTGGACGTAGCCTACACTGAATTATACTGTAGCCTATATAGAGGAGGTTATGTCTTCAGATGTTCTATATATTTAGAATGATTCGTATGGATTTCCAAGCGACACGGAAATTAAATCTTAGGCTACTGTGCAAAATATAATTGCGTATTTCTGGTCTGTATGAACTTTTTACGAGGCTGTGTTTCGAGGAAAGGCGCGACTGACGCATCGAGACGCTTGAGCTCACAGCAGTGAAAAACGCCCCCGATTTAACGCTCTCACGTCTCACTTCTTCAGTCTCACCCAGCTGCCGAACCGCTTCATATGAAACAAACCTCACTGAAACTTATTTAACTTAGCTGACCTCCATCTATGTAACCGATTATCAGTACACGCAATAGCTCCGTTTCCCTCCAGAATATATTTTAATGACAGGTATGCTTGAAATTGCCAGCATCATACAAAATACCAAATTGATAAACTTCTATATAATGTGACTTCTAACGGGCTTCGTCGAGTGTAATCACCTGTGTAAAAGAAAGTCATGGTTAATATAACATTAAACAGATCCATTTTGCGGTGACGCCTGGAATTTTTTCAGTATACCAATAAATTAAAAGACGTACAGTTAATGTAGTGCGTTTGATCAAATATCACTGTCCTAAGATGACAGATTACAGAAGCTTAGAAGTGCACGACAGTGCAAATACTATTCCGATATGGACAATTATATCCTCATCCCAATGATTAACTCACTAAGCATATAAAACCAGTTAGCCCTTAATCATTTCCTTATTTTATTCTTTTCTCAAGGCCCTTAGTCAAACTAAATAGTTTTGTCGTGCGCAAACAAATTGTGAACGTTTGTATTTCCATTAATGTCACAATTACGAAAATGTATTATTAAAAATCCCACAATCCAAAATAATCGAAGACCTACAGTGAACATGTGGTGTGTATTATGTCAGATCGCTTTATCTTAGTTTTTTTGGTTTTTTTACTTAATGCAATAAAAAAATATATATTTTTTGTTTCGTATACAACCACACAAACTGCAGTCAAATTTGGGATATTTCCCATCAGAGACATGACACATATTCAATTAAACTAATATTTACAGTATTTCGGCTTCTGCTAAGTGTATGACTGCTGATGGGAATGCCGAGGGGAACGTGTAAGCGAACAATTAAACTTACATCTCTAATGTAAGAATAAATAAAACTAAACAGAGATGCATGCACCTAAATACGCGCGTTACGTCATTGCCGTCAAATATAAAACTTCATTTGATATGAAACGACAGCTGAACTTTCCAGTCTGTCTGTGCGTGAGGAGCGCAGGTGACTGAATACACATAACTGAAGAAGAACCTTTTATTGTTCCGGTCCCATTAAATAAGCGGTATTAGATACACTGAACAATGTAAGAGAATGACATGCGCCTCATTATTTACATCATCTAAAGGAAACGCAAAGCCAAACGACACAGGTCACCCCTGAAAACCAAACATATTTATGTATCCTTTTAAAAAGACACATTCGCCACTGTTTCTTGACCGAAGCAAATATCCCGTTACCGGTTTCCATAAAAATTAGCCTAAAAAGTTCATTTAGCGAAACTCTTGCATCTCTCGAAACTATAGACATGTTGTGCAATGGCGTATAAACGATTAAATACCCAGGTTGCCTTTCGATCAATCGACTAATTCTCGCACCCCTATCCTGGGCAACAACTCCTCTTAATAAATGCTATATATTTTTATATATATTCAATTACTTTCAACATAATTATTGTTATTTGTTTTTATATATCAGTAGGCCTATATAGTTCTATTTTTATGCGCCCAGTTAACAGGGCAACAGACACACGCATCCGTAAAAATACGCGGTCATATGTGAGGAGTCCCACAAGCTTCTGCACCTGCTCTACCAAATCTTTTGTATGCGTAGCGCCCCCTTGGGATTTCATGGCTGAATTGCACTTCATTCCTTTAACTTTTCCGTCTGCAGTGAAACGTAAAATCTGGAAGTTTTATAAACGTGGGCTCAGGCTGATATAAGTGTGATAGGCTTAATTTAGAAATCGTCCTATATAAGTAAATAATAGTTTAACGTCTAAGTAGCCGACCACCGAAGCAAACCAAGCAAAATACCGTTATCCATTTCTATTTTGCGCAAATGCGCATTAGATAAAGAATGGGTATTCTTAATGTATTCGAATATCCATAACCTTACATTAATGTGTTCTGTATTCTGTAGCATATATATACACACACATACAGACACATACACACACCTTTTTTGGAGGGTCGTACATTTTAAATATAACCATCACACATTCATCCCTTAGTAACCTTAAAGTCATTCGTTTTAAATCGCCTGCAATAGCGTTAAACCGTTGCATAAAAGTTAAAAAAGCTAAGAGACTGGCCGAATTAGGTGGGCAAACAAACAGGACAAAAACTTACCAGGTAGACAGCAGTCGCAAGGAAAAAGACAGCGCGCCAGCACAGAGACTGCATTCTCCTTGATGTTAAAGTTCCTCTGATTTCCCTGTACTGCCTCTTTTGTCTTTGAAGAACATAGATCCACCTGGTATCCGCCTTACAAGACGGGGAAGCCCCTCGTCACCCTAAGCAAAAATAAAATTATACACCCCATGACCACGGAACAAGCTTACAGTTGGAGACAAAGAAAATGAAGGGAAAACAAATTACGATTACACAGGAGTTAATCCAGACAAAGATTGAGGCAAAATCTCATAATTGAACGAACGGTGAAGATTCAGTTCACGGTAGCGGCGGTGCGATCTGTCCCGATCTGATCGCGGTGCTGAGCTGGCGGCGGCCACAGTCCTGTCTGACGGGGACGGAGCTTTTAATGGCACCGAGCGTGAAGCGTCGCCTTTATACTGGGCGCGCAGCAAACGTGCTGCCACAATACATCCGGAGAAAGACCCGGCGATGCCGACTGCGCGGGGGGCACGGGGGGCGGGGGCGGGAGTAGGGGTGGGGGGAGTAGAAAGCGGAAAGAATAAAGAAGAGGACAAGATTGGCATTAGACGTGGAGATCACACAGCAACGGAAAGTTTAAAGAAGCCCCGGAGCGGGGCAGGAACGAGTTTTTCTTGCGTTTCGAGGAGGATGGCGTGTCTGCCAACTGGGAAGCAAGGACTGACAATTATACCCCCGACGACTATGATTTCCTCTTGAGTTAAGAAATGCGGTTTAAAGAAATACCATGATTTTTTTGCGCTATACATTTTCACTGTTCATATACACAAGAAAGAAAAATCGAATCGATCATTCGATCATTACCCGTAGTCGCTTGATATAATTACACTATTAACCATTGCGTTGAATTTCAAGTGACCTAGCTGTCACTTTTACCTGTGCGGCAGCTTCTTTACACCGAAGAATATGTTTTTGTATTTAAAACTGTATAATCAAAAGAGGATTCCAAATCAAAATTAATACATGGCATATGTATTATAATATTAAAAACAGGCTACAGTATATCTACAGTATAGCCCCAGGCAATAATTTTAGAGAGCTTTAAACTATAAAGACAAAAACAGGTAGATTAATCATTCCTCTGTGTAGCAGGACGAGGTCTGAGGCCGCCTGAACAACACACGCTTAAACCTCTGATGTAATCAGTCTTTTCACTCTTTATTTTTGCTGTCAGATGTACTTACATTTCAGGCTGCATCGCCAGGCCCCATTAAACATCTCCTCTGTTCCCCAGTCCCGCACTTACGCGATTCATGGAGCGAAGTACGGCCGCTGGTCGCTGAAAAGTCACAGATTATACATGGGAATCCCACGTGACGGAAAGAGCAGCACGTGCACGTGTGAAATTTACAGGCCTGTAACATGTTTTACATAGCAAAACAAATGCTACTTGTTTTTAATTGTCTGCAGCCGGTAGGTGTGTACATCGCTGTGTACTTTCAACAGCACGCAAGTTGTAAATTTCTTTTCCCCTGGATTTATGACGGATGGAATGGAGGAGTAGGTTCGAGAGAGGGCCACAAAAAGTGATGTAATAAATCTGGAGCGCCCCTTTAAGGTGACACTGCAGCAGCCCCATACCCTGCCATAACTTAGACGACAGGATGATGGGATCCCAACACCGCAGCCTCATCCAGCGACTCCCCGCCACCTCGTAGATAAATCACTGCAATATTGGGTGTACAAGTCCTCACAACTGACTTTTCACTGGATTTGTTGCTGTACCAGAAGGTGATGTGTTCACAGTACATATGACTGTGTCATTGTACCACTGGGCAATTCTGAACCTGCCCTGCCTTAGTGAGCTGTCTGTGAAGATGTGTGAATGTAATTATTTTATGCTTTGGGATTTGACCTAGCATAGCGTTTAGGGGATCTGAGCACTGAGGTGTTCACAGACTAGTCAGAATGACGGCTGTCGTGCCCCCTGTTCCTCCACGCCCCTTCCGGAAGCTGACAGAGGTGGCGCCAGCGAGGGCGGAGATGCCAAGGCGGGGGCCACCAGGCTGTCGGTAAAGCACTGCCCAGACAAAAGGCGAGGGCAGGTGCTACCAGGGGAACCGAAACGGAGAGAGGCGCTGGGGTGGATGGGGGCGGAGGTGGGGGTGTCATCAGAAATAAAGGCTGTGTAAGACCGGCAGAAAATGATCCTGTCATCATCGGGCCAAATGCGGTGGAAGTAATGCACAGGAAATTACGGAGTGGCGCGGTCCAAGCAGCTGACCCTTCAGAAGCCGGGGAAGATCATGGGGCCGGGCGACGTCAAAGCGGCACCGGCGGCTTCCGCCGGAGAGGGGCTTTTGTTCAGGCTGCGTCAGAGGGCTCGGGCAGCTTTGACGGAAGCCGGATCGGGAACGGCAGATGTTGCGGATGGGCTAACGCACACAGGGGGTGGGCCGTACCAGTTCCGCCCCCCCAACCCCCCCAGGGGCAGCCAGACGCCAAGCCTGCTCAGATCAGAACGTTAAGTGGGCCCAGCTAGTGGGAAAGACGTCAGCCCTCCTGCCGGAGAGAGCGCCTCACGCTCACCGTTCCAGTGCCAGAGCCCTTCATCTGAACCCCAGGAACAGGGGGGCCCATAGAAAAGACTGTGGGGGTGTGGGGGGGCATAAACATGAGTGCCAGCCAGCCGCTGGTCAGAGGAGACAGCTGGGGCTTATAGGAGAACGCCCCCTTCCTGCGAGCAGAACAGCAGAAAACCATAGAAAAGAACTTAATAACCACGGAAACGATTAGGCCGCGGACCGCGGGAAGAGAGGAGGTGCATTTAGACTCTCCAGTAGTCGCACTCCTTCACGCAAGCGTTTTTATTTGCTTTCATCTGAAAAATTCAGCCAGCCAGCCTTCTGGAGGGGTACAGTCACGTAGGAAGGTTCTGTGTGGATACTGGCGGGGATGGGGGGGCACTCAGTGCCCCCCTTTGTAATTCAGCATTCGCTGAACACTGAGGAGGGCTGGACCCCTAAATCTACATCTGGCACAAACTCTGACATCAGTCAGCTGTCTCTTCTGGGATGTTCTTGGAGTTAGTTTCAAACTCTAAAGCTCCTCATGACCTTTGGGTATATAAAAACGTCTGAATTTATAATTTATTTATTTTTTTACATTTTACAGTTAATGGAAGCTCTTGAAGAGATTGTCTTAGAAACCTCAATCATAATTAAGCATTGCTTACTTTTATCAGCTGGATATAATCATTTTAAATTAATTTTGTCCCCCGGCACCAATCTAAAACTTCCCGATCAAGAATATAAAGGCCTCTAAATGCTTGGTGCTTTCTGCCCCAATCAAATTTGCCTTGATCTTGATATTACCGAGGTTAAGGCAAAGTCAGCCGCTTCAGACAGATTCAGATCAGCCGCTTAATTGATTGGGTCGGCTCTGCGAGATCTCCTCTCCGCTTCGGCCAGATCTTGCCGAGCAGGATGTGCCAGTCAAGCCTGGGTTTTTGTTCTAAACAAGGACACCAAGCGCTGTCATGGAGCAGCCAAAATCTGCTGATGCGGACAAAAAAAATAGCATGCTTCTGAGCCCCCGCCTCCCGCCTCCCCGCCCTGCCTCCCCGCCCACACACCCTCACAGGCCAGCCTGCCGCTGACCCCTCTCTCTAGTGAGAACCAAGCATCTCTCTCCTGCTGCTCTCTTCAGCAGAATTCCTTGATGCCTCCCAGTCCCAACAGTCCCAGCGTTTGTTTAGGCTGCACATTTTGTGACAATTTATATGTTTATATCCAAACTGGATTTTAAATATATATAACTGTACATTAATAAGCCAGCTGTAATCTTTCAGTAACCAGATAGTCCAATATCCTGCCAATTCATTATTTTTTTTAAATAAAGAAATGTATATATTGCAAGAGTTAATGCCATTTATATGGCAATTGTGTATCTCTGAAATCGCGATGCGTTGCAGTGAACTTTCTAGGTTGGTTTGTTTACAATAGTCTTTTAGCAACATCTAATGGTCGTGATAGGCATAGCAGCACACAAAATTGAATACTAAAATAAACCACGATTTAAGAAGACATGTATCTTGGGGTGTCTAACATGGTTTATATAAATTTAAATAAACTTTGAAATATTTTTCTTTTTTTAATTTAAAGCTTCAAACAAATAAATGAAATGTAGAACGGACAGATTGATATATTGTTATGTAATCCTGGACTGGTCGTTAAAAGCTTCTATAACCTGTTTTACGAGGCCTAAATGTTTAGTTTGCGCTGTATAATATAATTAATTTATAATTAACTAAACATAATTCTAAAGACAGGAGTATCTAGTGGCCGTGTATTAAGAGAACATCAAACCACTGTGTTGATTTGGCAAAAGAAAACAATTTTTGTCAGTCAGTTCAAAACGACTGCGGTGTAAACTTAGATTGTTAACACGTAACCCCAAATGCATGCGGTCGCCTTTTAATTATGGCTAATTTATCTACGTGATTTCAGGTCTAGAACCCAGTAGCTGACTAGTCAATAAACCTGATCAAAATCATTACAGTGATTCAGTGTCCGACTGAAAGGGAATTTTGTTGGATCTCCGTTGAACCACTTACTATGTGTTATTCTTGCAGTATGAGCTCCTTCTGGTGTTTTAGAGATAGCAGAACAGAAACGCCCTACAAAGTTAAAATGTTTGATGACGGGCTGACAGCGCCCCATTGTGGTCAAAATTTAAAACGAACGGCGCTCATTCGTCGTAACGCCCCTCTCTGCCCTTCACACCACGGTCGCTCTCGCCTGCTTCCTGTGCGCCAGAACTCACTGCAGCGCCCTCCAGAGTACGAGGTCATCAGACAAGCGAGGCGGCGGGAACTAATTGGAGAATTTTAAAAAATAATAACTTCACAAGTGCTTTGATAATTATTTGCGCTGTTTAAGCATTTTATTGTGCATTGAGGCTCAAAGCATTTCGTTCTCTTCTTTGTTCCCAAAATTTAGTGAATATTGATTTCTTGTTCTGTTTTCTCCCTTTTCTTCCTCAATTATTTTACTTTAAACAGAACTTAGATGCATTCGCTTAACATTTCATGAATCTGTCATAATTTTACTGGTCCACAGTATCACCAGAATTCAGCCCCAGAAACTGATCATTGGGGTGAGAGGATCTGCCAGATTCCAGCCCCAGATACTGATCAGTGTCCTCCAGAATCTCATTTGTTTTACAGATGTTTCAATTAAATAAAGATATACGGTAAAAAGTGAAGAGTTTTAGAATGAAAAGGATGAAAATGCACACTGCATTGAAAGTATTGAGACACGTCTCTTTATCATTAGATTCAGGTGTTGTATTGAGACCCATTGTCACAGGTGTATAGAATCAAGCACCTAGCAATGCAGTCAGCTTTGGAAACA